CCCCCCCCACAACAGTTCCAGTGCAGGAAAATTTATTCAACCATATAGAGCAACCCGTTTCGGGCGGGTTTGGGCAGTGAGCTGGGGTGATGTATGTGCAGTGGGTGTCACCCCCATGCAAGGCAGGGGAGATGGCAAAAGCCTTGCCTCTTGTTTACATTTTTTAATTAAATGGTTAAATTTTGTTTAAAGCTTTTGGGGGCCAGGGACAGCCCTGTCTGTGTGTTCTCCTGGAGATGGGCTCGATCCCCAGGTCGTGGTCAGATCCCATTTGTCTGTTGACACAAGCGTCTGTGCTCCCAAATTTGTAGTGCGGGGGTTCCGTGTGCTGGATACGGGTCTTCATCATGAAAAACAACAATTTTCTTCTTGCGTTTTTGCTGGAAGGGTTTGCAGCATCTCCCACCTGGCTTTGTGTGTCTTCGGATCAAGGATGCTCGGAGAGGGGAGGATTAAAACTGAGCTTTAAAACTGAAGCTGGAGGAAGCTGATGGGTTTTTGGTCGTTAGTGGTTTTTTGAGGCTCATTCTTGAAGAGGATTAAAAATAAAAACCAAGGTGGTTTTTTCTGTGCTGAAAACCAGGTGTTATATCCATGCTTACTTAATAGTTTGGATCTTTTAGTAAACAAGCTCCTGAAGGAATTGAAACTAAGATGGTAAAAATGTCCATAATCCAGTCTGTTGAACAGCTTTTTAAACTGGGAAAGCAGAGCCCAAGGAGTTATACAAAATACCTGCAGTGCAAACACTGACAGCGTTAAGAGGCCAATTATTTAAAACCTGCTGAATCTCACTGCCTTTTTTCTATTAGCCCAGCGATGAAAATTTTCCTGTGACAACAAGCTCGTCGCTGGAGAGCTGTCGAGGCTCACAGCCTGTCAGTACTTAAAGGGGGCTTATAAAAAAGATGGTGGCAAACTTTTTAGCAGGGCCTGTTGTGACAGGACAAGGGGGAATGGCTTTAAACTAAAGGGGGGTAGATTCAGACTAGATCTAAGGAAGAAATGTTTTACGCTGAGGGTGGTGAAGCACTGGCACAGGTTGCCCAGAGAGGTGGTGGATGCCCCATCCCTGGACACATTCAAGGCCAGGTTGGACGGGGCTCTGAGCATCCTGATGTAGTGGGAGATGTCCCTGCCCACGGCAGGGGGGTTGGACTAGATGGGCTTCAGAGGTCCCTGCCAACCCGAACTATTCTATGATCCTATGGTTCCCCAGTAGAGCTATATATTTGCAGCACCTCAGTTTTCTCATGCTATTTTCTACCAATTTCTTAAAGCAGGTCGTATATGCAGTATGAGCATATGGACCTTTCTGCCATGTCTGCAGGTAGCGTCTCTCAAGACAACACTGGAGGTCCCTTGGTAGAGCTGGAGATTTTTAAAAGCAAACAACTCCTGTTTCGCTACATAAAGAAATAAAATTTCATCATTCTGAACCAGAAGGAAAATGCTCGGCTCTGGCTGGTGTTTTCAGAGGAAGAGGGCATCAACTCTGCATTGAGCAATCATCCATTTATCCTAAGTCACTTCTATTGGCCACAGTCTTGAGTTTTTTCCTGTGTGGGGCTGTGAAGGATTAGGGTCAATGTTGTTTAGACAGAGTCACGAAAGACTCACTGCAAAAGAGCCTCATGTTGTCTAACTGGTGCCTGGAAACAGGCTCTTGCAGGCAATAAGTACTAGGATACACCAGACGATGCCATATGGGCAGTGCCTCTGTGAGGGACCCTGTGCACCCCACATTGCTCTAGGCAGGCGCAGGACAGCCCGATGCTTGTGGCCGCAGCTTTCCAAGGGCATTGAAAAATGGAACAATGTTTAGGCTGCGACAAGGTCTTCCATCACGGCTGGCGGTTCAGTGGACGGTTGCATGGTGGCCGGGTGCAGAGCTACCTGAGCGTAGCTGGAGGCTTTGCTTCAGGGCAGCGTCAGAGCAGCGACCCACGGTCCACACCAATGGCCAAGCCCAGGCAGCGGCTGACAGCCTCGTGTTGCTCACCCTATACCTTTATTTAGGCAATTGCACTCTCTACCTGGTCTCTTGAGGTGGCAGTTTGCATTTTTATTGCTTGTATTCAGATCCTGCACACTTGTGCTTCCTGCGTGTTTGTGCAAGGGGGTTCGTGCAGCTCTTTCTACCTGTGCTGTGCATTTCCACATCTCAATTTATTATTAATTTATTATTAATTTAATCATTTAATTATTTATTTAATCTTTCACCTTTAGCTTTTACTTGGTCTACACGCAGTCCTCCTCTTCACTAGCTATGTGTCTCTTGGGTCACTTTGTATCGTAGGAGATGTGGTTTGAAGTCTTCATGCATCAGTGGAAAAAAATGTGGGTTTTAGTGCCATTCTGACCAGCGGTCTGGAGGTCCTGTCCCAAAAAACGTCCCCTGCAGCTGGAATGTATCAAAGGACTGAATGTTTTCCAGGGGATTATCACACAGGTTCCTTTTTTCCCATGGATGACTGGGAAACTGCTAGACCTGCCAGGGTTTTGGACATACGTGAGCTTCTCCATGGGACTTAATCATAGAATCATAGAATCATTGAGGTTGGAAAAGACCTCTAAGATCATCGAGTCCAACCGTCGACCCAACACCACCACCCACTAAACCATGTCCCTCAGCGCTGCATCTACTCGTCTTTTAAATACCTCCAGGGATGGGGACTCCACCACTTCCCTGGGCAGCCTCTTCCAATGTTTAACCACTCTTTCAGTAAAGAAATTTTTCCTCACGTCCAATCTAAACCTCCCCTGGCACAACTTGAGGCCGTTTCCTCTTGTCCTATCGCTGGTTACTTGGGAGAAGAGACCGACCCCCACCTCGCTACAACCTCCTTTCAGGTGGTTGTAGAGAGCGATGAGGTCTCCCCTCAGCCTCCTTTTCTCCAGGCTAAACAATCCCAGTTCCCTCAGCTGCGCCTCATAAGACTTGTTCTCCATGTAACATCCCAGGTTCCCTCTGAGCCCTTCACCCACCAGTTTCCAAAATCCGCTGAGGTTTGCGTTGCTTTTTGGGTAGCTCCTGCTCCTTCTCATGTCTGCATCTGCTGGGAATGCAGGTGAACTACAGGCACGGCAGAATATCAAGGGATGTTTCCTGCACCTCTGGAATTACAACCTTCCTGGGGACATTTATTTCCTTTTACGTCTTTCCGAGGGCATCCATTAATATGAAGCAAAAAGAAGCATTTTTTTTCCCAGATGGATGCTGACACACAAAGCTTTGCATGTACTTGGAGGGTGACCACGCGAGCTCTGTGGCCTGTGGGGAGTCGTGCCACAGGCAAAGAGGGGGGGACGGCGATACCTTCTCTACAGGGTCCCCCTTACAGAGCAAGAGGCCATCGGGCTGTCGATGTAGGCATCTTGGGCTTGCTCATGGATGAGGATGGGCAATGGGGCAGCGTGGTGCCTCGAGGGGCAGAGGCAGGGGAAGGGCAGCTGGAGACCAGTGAGAGGCGATGGATGTTGTCCTAGCAACATCACGAACCTTGGCAGGGCTCTTTCTCCAAACTGATGTGGTTTTCGGAACCTCTCCATCCACATCTGAGGGTACTTTAACAGGGGTGGTGGTGGTTTTCCTCTGCCCCTGTGCTGTGCACTTGAGGAATGAAGGTTTCGTTGGTCTTGTTCCTCTGCTCCCCTTCCCAGCATGGCACGCCTGAGAGCCAGCGAGGCTGGAGGCGGGTGGGTTCGTCACATTTGGCTTTCTTCAGGAGACTTGCGATGGCAGGACGACCTCCCTCAGCGTCCTGCTTGCTCCTGCTCCACATGTGGCACTGAGCCATTTTGCACCAGGGTCAGTGAAATCCTGGTTAATTTAGAGCAACAGCTGTGGTGGCAGAAGACAATTTCTTTGTCACAGTTGAAACTCTGGACTTGACTGCAGGTTTGCAAACCAGATTTTTGTCGCGATTGTCATCTTCATATTGAGATCTCTTTCTGCCACGTTGTTTGCCCACATGTAAGGAAGTTGTCCCAGAAACCCGTCTATGCCAAAGGGAGCCACCAGCTGTGTTAGGACACATCTTCTAGGAAGACATCAGCTGCCACTGGCTCAGCATTGCCAGGACGGCATTTATAGTGCTCCTCTTGAACCTGGAGCCATTCTTAGCCGTTGCATTTTGCACTTGGCTTTGCAGGTGTCCGCAGCCATTAAAGGGTCCATGTTACACACCCATTGCTCTGCAACTCACTCTTTGTCTCAGAAGTTTAAGGTGCTCCGGAGCCAGCTCAGAGCTGGGCGGTGTCCCCAGTACCCTCCCTTTTGTCCAGATTTCACTTTTTTGCTCCACTTCACCGTGATTGCATTTTCCTTGCCTGCCTCTTGAAGCGCAGTGGCGTGATGGTGCGGCACTGGGGACGAGCGCAGAGCGGTGCCTGCTCTCTGTCCGTCTTGCCAGGTGCCCAAAACGGGTTGCAAAATGGGCCAGGTGGCTGCATGCCCATGCAGCCGTGGGCTCAGTGGTGCCCAGGAAGGAACAGGGCTTTAGCAGCAAAGGAGCAGGGTGGTTTGCTCCCATTAACTTCAGGCAACGCCAAAAATTAGGGGGAAACTGACCCTGGCAGGAGAAAGGGAAGTGGAAACAGATGAGACCTGGGAGGAGGAGGAGGGAGAGGAGCTGGCTGAGGATGAGGGACAAGCCGAGTGTCAGTCGCTGTGTTTGTGTCCGCAGGAGGAAGCTGCTGTCCCCGGTGGATGGTCTGGACGAGGGACCGGTGAGCCAGTCCCACACCCAAGCGCTGCTGGGCTGGGACGAGAGGCAGAGGGAAAGGTGCGTGGTGGAACTGAGGGGCTCTGGATCAACCAAGCTCCCAGGGGTTCGGATCCCGGGGCTCGGGTGGAAATAGCAAAGATCCTAGAAGTGCTGGGATACCAAAGATAGAGGGAGCCGTGCCCGCAGCTGGTCTAGCACTGTGTAACAAGTAATGCACCCCCCTCTCCAAAAAAAAACGATCACGATGCTCCTTGGAGCAGAAACTGCTCTCTTGTTTTTCCTGTATCCAGGTAGAAATATTCTCCTTAAGATGAGGTTTAACCACAGAGAAGATGCACCTTTGACCTACATATGCTATAGCACTATGGGGACACCTTGTTTTCACTGATTGTGGAGAAATAACCTTTTTCTTCCGTGTAGGAAGTGAGCACAAGCTGTGCATCACATACCCCAGGTCCTGGCTTCCCTACAGCCCCGGGGGACAGCCTTGGAGGGAGCTGCCCTTCCTGGGAAGCAAAGTCTTGGGGAAGGTCTGCACCTCCACATGGTGCAGGGTTTTGCCTTCTTCCTGGGCAGAAATCGTTGTGCCAATTATTACAATGAACCGGCCTGGAGCTACAGCAAACAAGCTTGTTTTTGTCCTCCCTCGTATTGATGCTTCTCAGTCATGCTAGGTAAAGCATCCTGCTCTGAATCCAACCTAGTTTTAATAAAGAAGCTGAAAAGAGAAGATATAGTTTATAAATTCAGGGGTTTGGTGCACATTTTCATCCCATAGTTCTTCCAAAATCTTCTTCTCCCAAGCACATCCAATCCAGCCTGGGATCTTGGTGCTTCCCAAGTCCCTCTGAGGGCATCTCACACCCCAGGGCAAGGATGAGGCTCAGGCTGGTGCTGCTTGACAGTATTTTGCTGAAATCACCTTAATTTGTGTTCTTCTGATTACACAATAGCCAAATAAATATGGGTAAATCCTAATTCAGGATCCTGTAGGTTAAAAAATGGGTCATGAACCTGCCCTTGTGCTTTCCTACCTGCATGAAATGCCTGATGGTCTCCTCGCAGCTTGCTCAAGCGCGTCGGTTCAGCCACGAGCCTGAGCAGCGCCGTCATCAACAACCGGCTTCAGGAGCTGGTGAAGCTCTTCAAAGAGAGGACTGAGAGGGTGAAGGAGAAGCTAACTGACCTCGATATCACCTCAGATGACGAGAGCCCTGAGGCATGTGAGTATGCGTGGGGCTGGGAGCACTTAACTGGTGGGTCCCCACACACGCTGTGTTTTCAGGGAGACAGCTGTTTCATTATCAATTTAAAGACCTTTAAACAAATTGCCGTAAGATGATTTTCTGCCCTTGAAAATAACTGTGTGGCCTCTCCCAGCCCCCGCCAAGCTGGCACCTGCGGCAGCACCGGTGCCTCCCCCAGGAGGGGAGCCAGAGGGGGACAAGCCAGTGGGGGACGAGCACTACTGCGAGATGCTGTGCTGCACGTTCAAGTACCAGCCCTGGCTGGACCGCGTGAAAAACTACCAGTTCCCCAGCAGCATCGACCCGCTCACCAGTGAGTGATGGAGCACGGCCATGCGCCCGGGCTGGGGGCAAGCTGGTGGGGCTGGGGAAGAGGGGGTAAGGAGGGGAGCAGGCAAGGAGGTGTAAAAGATGAGACCTTGTAGAGAAGGGAGGACAACTAAGCAAGGAGCAACTTAGCTTACACCTGTATACTAAAAGAACCAGAGTTTTAAATTCCCCTGCAAGGCACAGGCTTGCCTAAATACTTCCCAATGGCTGTGGGTGTCAGGAGCACAACCAGGCAGAGAAGGGGCAGCCTTCTGCTTTTCAGGCTCTTTAGCGGGCAAACACTGTCCCTGTGGTGTGGACACCCCAAATGGAAATAAAAATCACAAAGGAAAAATCCACTGCCTGGTGGACACCCCACAGGATCCCAGCTCCTTCCTTAGTCCTTGCTATTTCACAGTTATTTCACAGCCCCCAAGCTCAGGCAGCCAGCACTTGGCTCAGCACAGCCTCAAGGGGAAAAAAGCAAAGCAAGAAAGTCGTCGGTATTGTGGGAGCAAAGCAAAAGCAAACCTAGTTGAACCAGCAAAGTTAGAAGAAGCTTTCTGATAAAAAGCGATGTGCTCTGCAACCGGTGGTATCCACTTTGCATCTACAGCCCAGCTCACTTGCAATTAAATGCCATCGATAAGAGACCTGCAGGTTTCCTCCTTGCACTCAGGGCAGGTCAGGGGATGAAAACCCCTGTGCGTAGCGGATTCACACGGGCAAGGGATGTATGCCCAGCTAATCATGGTGTGGTTCCCTGTGCGCAGACCTGATGTACGTGCTGTGGCTGTTCTTCGTTGTCGTGGCCTGGAACTGGAACTGCTGGTTGATCCCCGTCCGCTGGGCTTTCCCCTACCAGACACCATCAAACATCTACTGCTGGCTGCTCATGGACTACCTCTGCGACCTCGTCTATCTGCTGGACATCCTCGTCTTTCAGACCCGGCTGCAGTTCGTCCAGGGGGGAGACGTAATAGTGAGTGGCAGCACGCTGTGTCCCACTGCTGGGGACCAGCTGCGGGGACCTCCCATCCCCATCACCCCGAGCGCGTGGATCGTGCTTGTCACTGATCTCTGAATCAAGCTCTCCATGCTCTTCCACCACAGCCGTGGCCATCAGGGCTGTGTCCACTCTTGGAGGACTGCAAGCATCTCTCCTGCCATGTAGTGGATAAGCCGGCAGTCTTTTTGTCCACCAAAAATACGTAATTTTCCCCTAAAGTCAATACCGGCCCATCTAGAAAGCATGTGGTCCATGGCGGCCCTGTTCCTGGGTAGGGATGCTTGGAGGGTGCTGCTCTGCAAAGCGGTCCTGCCAGTGGCGCGGTGAGGTGCACGCCAACCGGCCCCAGTGCAGCCGTACGCTGCTAATCGTGAGCAGGTGGCATAAACTCGGGGTTTAATTCTCAGGAGCACAGCTAGGCAGAATGCATTAGCGATACGACAAAAGCAATTACAGTCTGAATGCATAGATCATGCGCCTGAGATAAGTGAATATCGCTTCCAAACCCAATTAAATAAGCTGTGAAAAATTAAACCTTGAGGGTACAGCCTTCCCATTGCCCGTGCAAATATTCAGACAGGGAGGTTTCTCCTGTAAACTCTGATTTTTGTGGTGCAGGCACTGCAATGTGCTTTCTCTGGGATGCAAAACAAGCACAAGATGTCTCGAGATAGGATGGGAAGATGGCATACGGCCAGGTCTTCTTCTGCTCCTTTTGCTCTGCTCCCCTTCCCAGGCACGAAGGGAGCATCTTCCCTGTTGTGGTGCAGAAGAGGAAAGCTAGGCATGACCATGTTGGCCATGACTTTCCTTTCTGTAAGCCATGACCAATCTTCCTCTCTCTCTCTCCCTCCTATTCCCAACCAGACCGATAAAAAGGCCATGAGAGAGAACTACCTGCGATCACAACGCTTTAAGGTTAGACGTAATCTTATTTATTAATCTGAATTTTTAATCTGAGCCATGGCTTGCAGCTTCGTCCCACCATGCCTGCAGGTCTCCACAGAGGTTTCTCTCTTTGTGTGGATTTCAGATGGATATGGCGTGCCTCCTGCCCCTGGATTTCTTCTACTTCAAAGTCGGTGTCAACCCACTCCTGCGTTTTCCTCGCTGTCTGAAGGTGAGTTGGAGCTTACAAAATCAGGCAAAATACCAGTCGCAGGGGATGTGAAGGCGTCCCACACTGGTTGGGGTAAGCTGTGGCTTGCTAGGCTCATCGGTGATGACAAGAGGATTGTAAAATGGATGGGAAGTCTCGTCCCGAAGGCTTTGTGGGGCTGTTGGTCAAACACTTCATTTCAATCCTAAAACACGCTCACATTTGAATAGAAGGGCACTTATAGATGGAGCCAAATCTGTCTGCAGCAGTTCATGCTGCAGAGATGCTGCAGGAGGGAAACAGAGGCGGGGTGGGGCTTTATGGGGACGTAACTCTCCCGGCGGGGGCCGCGGGAAGCTGGAGCGCGCTGCTTTCCTTCTCCTCCCAGTACATGGCCTTCTTCGAGTTCAAGGGGCTGCAGGAGGGAAACAGAGGCGGGGTGGGGCTTTATGGGGACGTAACTCTCCCGGCGGGGGCCGCGGGAAGCTGGAGCGCGCTGCTTTCCTTCTCCTCCCAGTACATGGCCTTCTTCGAGTTCAACAACCGCCTGGAGTCTGTCCCGAGCAACGCCTACAGGAGGGAGGGAGGGAGGGAGGGAGGGAGCATGGGGTTGCTGTTACTGCGGGGGGAGAAAATTCACTTTGGTGTGCACCCATTCTGGGTTTCTGATTTATTTTCCCACCCTCCCTGGACTGGCTGACATGGGTGTTGGCTGATGCAGGTGGGATGTGGGGGTCCTGGAGCCCATGTGGGTAGGATCACCTCTCCCTGACCCAGCAGGGTTAGGGGTGCTGGTGGTGAAGAGGAGCCACCAGCAGATAAGCTGCTTTTTCTGGCACTTCTGTAGCTGCAGGGCTGCGGGAAAGAGCAGCGGGGCCACACGTTTGGGTGCTCTGTGGTTCCTGCACTGGCAGGACCTGCATGGTCAGCACTCGGCTCATCGCTTCGAAGCTCCTTGTGATGCCGGGGGGGATCTGACGTGTTTCTCCCAGCAGATGCCATATCATCTCCCCTCCTGCTCTTTCCTATTTTTTTGCAGAGTGATTCGGACCACTGCCTATTTACTGTACAGCTTGCACGTGAACTCCTGCCTCTATTACTGGGCATCAGACTACGAAGGACTGGGCTCTACCACCTGGGTCTATGATGGGGAAGGAAACAGGTACAAGCCAGGGCTTGGGTCCTCACATAGCACAGCTTGCTGTGATGAGCTGGAGCAAGAAGGGAGGTATTAGGATGCAGCTGGGTTCATAAAAACCCCTGAAGCAAAGGGTTGGAGGTGCCAGGAGAAGATGTGGAGCCAGGGAGAATGACGGGGACAGGAGGGATGGGGTGTGCAGTAATATACAGTGCTGCAAGACAAAGAGGCTGCAGTTCGGCTGAGATCAAAGGCAATCACAGCTCGAAGAGGCTGAAAAACTGGGAACCCGGTGCTGGGAAGCAAGGGAATGCTCCCTGGCCAAGCAGGATGGCAGTGTGAGCCCTGTTTCTGTTCGTGTTGACCTGCTGCTGCCAGGTCAGGATGGAGGCTTCAAGCTGTGTGTCCTAGGTGCCATGTGTCAGGCCCCTCAGGCCAGCCCAGCGCCCTCATTCCCAGGGTGCAAGACAGCGACAGTGGCCACCCCATCCCCTCGCCGTGGCATTTCCAAGATACATGTGTTAAATGTTCATTGTGCTGTCAGTGATGGATGCCACAGGGAGAGCACTCAGCTCGCAAGCTTGAATGCTGCCTCGTAACGAATGCCCACACCTTCAGGTTGTACAACATGGGCAAAATAAAATACTGAGTAACATTCAACTAATTTAGCACCATGCAGTAAATAAGAGTTTCCTGCAAAAAAAGGGGTGGGCACGTGCATTAAAGACTTAGCGTGAGGTGTGGGTATAGGTGGGGACAACTGACTGTCACCCAGGAAGCCTTAGTGCAGGTGTTGCCTTCCCTTTGAGCACTCAGCTTCCCATGTTAATGTTGCTGCTGTGTAGTTATTTTGTGTGATATACATATCTGTATCTATCTCTAGGTGTAATTATACCATCCAAGGGAGTGCCCAAGACCAGTGAACCAATAATTCACTTGACATCCGAGTCCCATGCTAACAATTTGCTCACAAACCCTTTTTTTCCCCTGACTGTTTCTAAAACTGTAAACGTTGCTGAAAATGCATTGCTGGTTTATGGTAGTGGAGCTGTAAGAAGCAGAAAATGGGAGTAGCCAGAGTAGCTGAGCATCCCATGCAGAGGTTTCTGGAGGGTGCCTACGTCCCCTTGCTCCTGTAGCACCTCCAGCAGCACCTGCAGGTGTGGTGAGGAGTCTGCAGCCCCCTAATTTTCCCTTTGTCACCCACCTACTCTCAGCAGGCTCTGGCTTGCCATGGCCAGAGGATGCGAGCTCGGTACTGAGGGGTGAAACAGGCCTTCACGCCAGAAACGCCTTCAAAGCTGCCTCCTCTTTTCCTCCCAGCTACATCCGCTGCTACTACTGGGCAGTCAAAACCCTCATCACCATCGGGGGCCTGCCGGACCCCAAGACGCTGTTTGAGATCGTCTTTCAGCTGCTGAACTACTTCACAGGCGTCTTTGCTTTCTCCATCATGATAGGGCAGGTGAGCAGGAGTCACGGGGAGTTCCCAGCCTCAGGTGGGGAAGGGTTTGGTCCAAAGGTTTGTACCTCCAGGTTTGTTTTCCCCGTGCAAGGACCTGCTCTGCTTTGGTGGAAGGCAAAAAGGATTTGGCAGATGCTGTTAGGACTCAGCATATGTGCTCTAGACTGCTTAACCTGCGTGATGGATAAGCAACAGCAATTAAAACATCTCTTCCACCCCTTTCTCCTATTCAGATGAGAGATGTGGTCGGCGCCGCTACTGCAGGGCAAACTTACTATCGGAGCTGCATGGACAATACCATTAAATACATGAACTTCTACAAAATCCCCAAAACTGTTCAGAACCGGGTGAAAATGTGGTACGAGTACACGTGGCATTCGCAAGGCATGCTAGGTGAGATCCAAATGCTCCGAGGGTCAACACTTGCATCACATGTGTTTTACTGCGGTTGTTTTGCAGAGCTGAAACATTACTGCCAAACAGCACCACAGTTTCGGGGCGGGGGGGTGGCTTATTTTACTCTTTGCTATACGGGCTTGTTCGCCCACCAATAGAGTATATAGGCTGCCACCAGGTCGCAGCACCTCGGTGACCCGGCATCACTCATAGCGCACTGAGTCCAGCATCCCAGCTGACGGTCCCTGGGGAGAAGGCAGTGACTGGCAATTGCTGGCCAGAGTGTGTCCAACAGCAAACCCACTAGCCCACCCTACCAGTAAATCATCAGGCAAGACCTCTGCGCCCACTCTCCTGGCCAAGAAAGATGCTGGCTTGGGCTTACCGGTCTGTCTCTGAGAGCTGTCAGGGCAGGGATAACGCTCTCCATCACCTGTTGGCTTTAGACCTGCAGGTTGCTGGTTGGGCAGAGGCTGGAGGAGACCTTTCTGGGCAAGCTGGCTCCTGCCCTCTGCCACCAAAATGCGGGCTGCTCTCCCACTGCCACGGCAAGGACGCACTCTCGGATCAAGTGCTGGTAACAGCCAGTTTTCTGCTTCGTCTCACAGATGAGTCAGAGCTGCTGGTGCAGCTGCCGGACAAGATGAGGATGGACCTCGCCATCAGTGTGAACTACAACATCGTGAGCAAAGTGGCCCTCTTCCAGGTACCCTCTGCAGCGCGGGTCCTGGCCAGTGGAGCCTGGCATGCCAGCGCAGACTAACGGCACTGTTGGCTCTGTTTCGGCTCAGGGCTGTGACAGGCAGATGGTCTTCGACATGCTGAAGCGGCTCAGATCGGTGGTCTACCTGCCTAATGACTACGTGTGTAAGAAGGTAATGAGATGCTCGGGTGCCCTGCCATCCCCGGTGTCGTGGCCAGGCTGTGCAGGGCACTAGGAGCAATGCAGAGCGGAGAAACCCAGGCCTGGCCCATCAATGCCAGGCTTCACAGCATCAAGCCACTTCACAGGGAGGGAATTCAGAGCAAAAACATCCTCGGTTGCAGCTGGTCTTGTGCAAAGACTGACCTCTTCTGCTGCAGCCATGAACAGCAGGAGAGATGGGAAGAGCCTGCCGAGCTGGAGGAGACTTTGGGATGCTTAGATGAGGATGCTCGGGAGTAAGCACCATCAGGACAAAGTGTTTTGAGAGCTTGGAGAGGGCAGTATGGTCGCGGAGGTTTCCAGCAAGATGCAGGTTAGGGCATCCATAAGGTCTCCCTGTTTCTGGGCACCCCACACAGCACCCATCTTCATTGCAGGGAGAGATCGGCCGCGAGATGTACATTATTCAGGCAGGACAAGTGCAAGTGCTGGGGGGACCCGATGGCAAAACCGTGCTGGTGACTCTGAAAGCCGGATCCGTGTTTGGAGAAATAAGGTGAGTGAAGCATTGCCAGGGAGCTGGGGAAATACAGCTTGTGGGCTCTGGGCGAGGAGGGTGGGAGGTGGGGAGATCAGGAACACCCTAATTAATCTTTGTGATTGAGAGCCACGAACACTGAGCAGCATCTGCTACGCAAATTACAGCTTTTTTCTTGGAGCTTTTCCGCTGTTTTTGTCACTGTGATGTTTTCTGCCTGGGGAGCTAGTGACAGTAAGCAGAGGTATATGGAGGGATGGGAAAATGAATGAGAAAAGATGTTTCACTAAAACAGCCTCCCAGACATTAATCTGCCCATTTCATGAGCATGTAAAGTCCTGTAGCATTTGTAGCACAGTGATAGAGTTTGCCTCCCTATAGCCCAGCAGACACTAGAGTGGTGTAAAATGCAACATTTAAACCTTCAAACAGGCAAATCATTTTTTATGTAGCGCTCCATGCCAACGTTTCCCAGCATTCTTTAAAAATTGGGCTTGGAAAATTTCACTGGGGGTGAAAATTAAACTCTGAGTCTTCTGAAAGAGAGAGATGGGGGGACATGACGGGAAAAGGGAGGTTTTAAATTACAAATGCTGTGCTGAGCCCGTTAATAACAGCGTTAACATCTCGCCATGTCTCCCTCAGCTTGCTGGCGGCAGGAGGGGGAAATCGCCGAACAGCAAACGTCATAGCTCACGGCTTTGCTAACCTCTTCATTTTGGATAAGAAGGACTTGAACGAGATTTTGGTGCATTATCCGGAGTCTCAGAAGCTGCTGTGTAAAAAGGCCAAGTGCGTGTCGGGCTGCTGCTTTCTAGCCTGTGGGGTTTTAAAAAAAGCAGAGTACAGGTTTCAAGATCGCAGGGGAGATTTCTCTCCGTGCGAAAACTCCCGCTGCAGGCACCAGGCGTTAGGCACACGTCCCCGGAGGAGAGCCGGGCTGGAGCTGCCGCGCTTCGGCAGAGGGCACCCGTCCCTCACCGCCGGGCTGGGGAGGCTGGAGGTGCCCAGAGCCAGCCCAGCCCTGCTGCGAAGCTTCACCGCTAAAAGCGGGTGCAACTCGGGAACCAACGCGGCCAAAGTGCATTCGTTTAAAAAAAATCTATTAAAATATTCACTTTAGTTTTTAGCATTACTTAGATTTGTTGTTCTGTCCTTCCTAAGGCGTAAAAAATTCCTGTCCTTTTAAAGTCTGATTTTTCTGCATTATAAAATCAAGCTAATATAACATGTCCCCGGTCTGAAATCATCTCTCCTTTTCCTTGCTGTAGAAAAATGCTGAAAAACAACAATAAACCCAAAGATGAGAAGGGAGCGCCCGGAGACCCGCTGATCATCCCCCCGAAAGCTGACACCCCGAAGCTCTTCCGGGCTGCCCTGGCCATCACGGGGAGGATGGGGAGAAAAGGGCCGCTGGCGCAGCTCCAGCAGAGGCTGAAGGAGCTGAAGGCGATGCAGGCGACGCAGGTCAGCGTGGGGAGGATGGCAATTTGGCTTTGCTTCCTTAGATGACAAGTTGCTGCTCTCCCCGACCAGCTCCAGAGACTGTCATTAAGGTGCCTTAAAGGAGTGAGCTCAGGTCATCGGGGTCTGACGTAGCGCAGGCAAATGGGAAGTGGTGGTCCAGCATCTTACACACGGCCTTGGGAGAATGTCATTGTCTCACAGGGTTTGTTTTGCAACACAGAAGGGAAATACCTTCACTTTTTGCCCAGCTATGCTAAGCCTGAGTCTAGTTTCTAGCTGGGCTATAGCCACAGACGAACATCTCTTCCGTGCCACAGAGACAGAGCCACTCGTAATTAATCGATGTGCTGGCGGGACGGAGGGTGATACTGGCATTCAGCATCCACAGGCCAGTCAATATTTGCAAAGCTTTCACGGTGTGGTTGGGGCCGAGGCCCCCAGCAGCAGGCACGCCATCCTGCCAGCTCTGCACGAGCTGCAGTCAAATCACCCTTGCCTTTTTGTCGAGCAACTGAAAAAGAAAGTGGCCCTGCTTTTTTTTTTTTTTTTTTTTTTTTTTTTTTTTTTTTTTTTTTTTTTTTTTTTTTTTTTTTTTTTTTTTTTTTTTTTTTTTTTTTTTTTTTTTTTTTTTTTTTTTTTTTTTTTTTTTTTTTTTTTTTTTTTTTTTTTTTTTTTTTTTTTTTTTTTTTTTTTTTTTTTTTTTTTTTTTTTTTTTTTTTTTTTTTTTTTTTTTTTTTTTTTTTTTTTTTTTTTTTTTTTTTTTTTTTTTTTTTTTTTTTTTTTTTTTTTTTTTTTTTTTTTTTTTTTTTTTTTTTTTTTTTTTTTTTTTTTTTTTTTTTTTTTTTTTTTTCCCCCCTTCCAAGTGTCTCTGCTGAACTCGTAAAAAAGGTCGTATCTCCATGCAGACCTTGTTGTTACTCTTCCCACCATGGAGTTATGCAGACTATCACATCTGGACGTGTAAAGGGAGGTGAAAGAGCAGCTGATATGGAGCACGCGGTGGCCTTGAGGCTGGGTAAATATCCAGGGAGACGCTGAGCATGACTGCGTTTCTGCAGTCCTTCACAAAAGCATGACGAGGCTTCACACACTGCAGTGCTTAACACTAATTAATAACCAGTTAAAGGCAGCGGTGAACAGTGGCACCCCGTGGTCTATACGATAGTGGCAACGAGACCCGTCATCAGAGGGTGCATGTATTAGAAGCTGACACTGCTAATGGGGTTAGCAGGACCCCGTTAGAAGGACAGCCCTGTCCATGGCACGTCCGTAGGTGAGGTTTCTGAGGCTCCTCTCTAAAGGAGGTTTTAAGACAGGGCAGTCCAGGGCTGCTCCCTCACAACAACGCTTCTGCCAAGCTTTTGCCAAGATCAACCCCTCCAGATGCTTTGGGAGCAAAACAAGAGCTAGTGCAGGAGGTGTGAGCGTTGCACTCATCTCTGTACACTTCTCTCAAGATGTGCAGGATATAATCCAGCTGCCTTTCTCACAGGGGTCACCTCTGGCAGCAAGCTGACATCCCGATGATGAGGTCCGGTGCGGTGAAACTCCTCAAAACGCCTGCCTGGCTTTGCACAGTTCAGACGCCGTGGTTCGGGGTGGTGGACAAGGGTCTGCTAAGGTTGATTTTGCCCTGGTCATTTTTTTTTTTTTTATGATCGTAGGGTTCCAGCGTCAGTCTGATCCCACCGAAATCGCCAGTGCACCGGAGATCGCCTGTCATCTCCCACAAAGCATCCACTGACCTGGGAAAAGAAATATTCTCAAAATCTTCTGATAGTTTAGTCACCGTTCGTGTGATTCCTATGGCACAAGAAGATGAAGAAATCCTTGCTGCTGAGATTTCGGAGAAAGAAGAAGAAAAAAAAGAAGAGAAATGAAAAACAAGCAGGTCCTGGGGCAGGAGTAGGAGTCAGGCAAATGCCTGGGGTAGAAGCTTTTTGTTGTTAACAATTTCCACACAGTGGCTGTAGGCTTCGCTAAGTGCTATGGGTAGGATCTGCCTTTCTTTTCTGCCTAGATCTTCACTCGCTGTTGATAAAACCCTCTGCCATATGACCCAGAACCGTACAAGGTATCTGTGCTCTGGAGATCTATTTTTATTGAGCATCTTTATGAATATTCCCACTAAATCTCAGACCAGCCCTCTTGCTTCAAAATCCAGCCTTACAGAGAGGGAGCCTTGAAGAAATTGCTTTTTATGGCTCTGGATGGTTAGCGAGTGTTCAGATAGTGTGAAGAGTTATTCACCTCTGACAGCCGAGTCACTGCTTGGCCAGAAACAACCGGGAAGAAAAACAACAAGGTCTCTCTGTTGGGCTCAAGGTTGTCAGCAGCAGCTGGAGAGTGATTCATCCAAAAAGGATGTGGACTATGCTCACAAGCCAAGCACAGACTGAATCACGCTGTCACGAGGAGGCCGAGGTCCATCCTGGTGTGCATAGACTGCAAGATGCTTGAGGGTCCCTGCGTGGTGCCAAGACCACCTTGGGTTTGCTGCTGGGAAGGGGAGTTCCTGCCAGCCATCCACCCCAGGGAGGTGGTGGGCTCTCCATTGCCGGTGGCTGTTTTGGAGAGATTTGATGAGCGTCTTTCAGGGATGGAGAAACACAATCCTGGATGAGGAGATGTTCCTGGAGATCCCTTCCAGCCCTGGGTTTTCATGGGTGCACCAGCCTGCCACTGCCAGAGGGATAAACCGAGTGCAGGAAGGGAGAAGCCGTGTTGGTTTCCAGCTGGCACGGGAAAGAGAAGTGCAGTAAGTGCTCTCCTCTCCCAGCCAGCGTTTCAGAATCGGGCCAGAGTCCATAGCGTGCACGAGCATGCAGGTGGTCCCCTGCGCTCATTGCTGGACCTCAGTGACCTGCCACATTTCCAGCAGCCAATTTCCAGCCCCTTTCCGTCACTTTGTTGGCTCTTGGCCATGTTTCCCACGGAGAAGCCACTCCGGTCCTGCTCATCACTGCAACGGGGTGCTTGTGAAGGCACTCTCCCAACCGTGCTGGTACCAGGTGCTGGATGAGAAGGCGAATGCCTGGTCAGCAGCCAGCACGCCCGGCTGATGGCTCAAGGTGTCTGATCTTCCTCCAGCACCACCAGTTCCTCATCTTCCTCAAACCCAGAGCCAACTGGAGCGAGCTGCTGGTGAGCTGAGAGGCGGCGAAAAGTGATGGGCAAGACAGTGCCGGGTGAGACGATGCAGACCCTCCCCAAGGCTTCGGCTGGCCAGGTCTCCATGCTACTGCTGGCTCCATCGAGAGGAGCCACTTTCCACCCTCTGGAGGAAAAGCTGGGCAGGTTTTGCCGCAGGGAGCAGCCCTGGAGCCATGGCCGAGGGACTTTGCCAGTGTTCAGCAAATCCTGTGAGCAGTGCTGCAGGTTTCGCAGGTCTGGCCGTGAGACGGCCAGGCTGTTCGTGAAGGGTGTCAGCGCCGGCATCGCCCCCGTACGTGGGTGATCCCTCTTCCCGTCAGCAGCCTGGGGCTGATCTTCACCTCCTACAGGGTCTTCTTATTTTGTTGAGTTTTTTCCCTCTCTTGCAAAATAAATGGGTTTCTGTGGTGGTTAGTGTTAATTAACGATGGCTTGCTCTCTTTTAAACAAATTTAATGAGCTCCAATATACCGCAGGAGGGTCTGAAGCCATCACTGCCCTTAACAGTGCAGGGGAAAACCTGGACTCACCCAAACCTGCCTAAATATTTCTCATCTTCAGTCATTGGCAAGCGGTTTCCTGCTGGGTCAAAGGTTTCAGTGGGAAGTGCAAAGTATTTTTTTCCCCTATATAAATATTTATATAATCAAACCAGGAAACATGCAAAAGTCAAACTGGGGTTCTGATTTGCTGCTACGATTTGATATAGTTTAGAAAAAGCGTTTGAATAAATAGTGGGCTGTAATGGCTTTCATAATCCACTATATCTACAATAAACACCACGTAGATTACTGTTCATTTGCTGTGGATTTATTTCAAAATTCCAGTTGTTTTCCATCTTTTTGTTCACTGATGCACCAATGGAGCCAGGAAAGTCCCCACGCGCGGTTCACAGATTTTGCAATAAACTTTTTAGAGGCTCAGAGGTCACATAATACTAGTAGTAGAATTGTAATATTTTTTTTAATCACCAGAAGGAGGGAAAAAAGCCTTCTTAAATGGCAAATACTTGCATGAAGATCTTCGTTTTCAACATGCAGCATTAGATGGTGATGGATACATAACTGGTAATTCTGGAACCGCGGGGAGATTTGAAATTATCCTCCTCTGCGATCTGTTTACAGCTTTAGTTCTTTAGAGAGATTATTCTGCAGGTAATAATTAAGGTCAAGGTAGGATTGGGCTTACAGGCTGGGTTGGAGAGTTGAGCTCAGATCTATTTGCTGTGCAGGACTATTTAGAAATGACAGGTAGGCCAAGGAGATGGGCAGCTCGTTTAGTGCCTCTTGTTTTGGGGGTTGCCGTAAACTGGCTTTCTGCTGAATTCTGTAATTCCATTCATTTACCAGTTTTGCTGTATTCGCAATGGGCTGCCTTTGCATTGGTTCCTATTCAGTATCTTGCAGCGTGCACTTATCACAGGTCTGTTCCTTCCACTGCCCTTGTAATGTTCCTGATGGATTTGGTAATGCTCCATGTACCTTTACTGCGTTTCTTATCAGCTTTTGCTCATTCCGCTTTGATGTCCTCAAGTGTTGGATATGAGATCCTCTAATAATATTAATGCAGTATTTGAGGGATCTTGCCGGACAGTTGCTTATTGCCAGTCCAGCACCCTGGAAATTCTGCGTTGCAGTCTTCCTCCTGACTTATATTTCTGTTTAACAGATTTCTCAGAGGTTCGTAGCCATAGAAATCAGGTTTTCTTGCAACGATATTTTAGCTGTTGCTGCTTTTGAGTGAGGTAAGTGGAATAGATAGCTGCTGAAGAAGCAGAGCTTGCTGTTGTCGGATCTGTATGAACGTGTTAGGTTTTGCCTCACTGTCACAAGTAGCATCTTTACTGGAGGCTTTATATATACTGTTTTAATATATGTATAGATATGGGTACTTTTATACACACACACACACACACACACAGACTTTTTATACTGGAGGAGTATTCATGTTCCTTGTGGCCTGTGCTGTCACGTCTTTCAGAACAGTGATACTGGTTTAATGTTCTGTATGAAGTTAGAGAAGACAAATGTCTCCGATAAAAATTCAACTTACAAAAGGAATAATATAACCCGCCATGGACATCTGACTGTGGAGGAAGTTGTTTCCCTCTGGATAGAACAGGGCAGGTAGCTTCTCTGTATTTATAGTCGGAGCAATCTTTTAAAAAGATTAAGTGCAATTGCAGGTTAATCACTGATAAGGTTATAACGAAAGTAAAAACAAATAAGCAGGTTTGGGGATTAGATTCGTGTCTAGAAAGAAATCGCAGGATAAATGGAAAGCCCAGTTAAATGGTGTTTAATTAGAAAGCTTGAAATAAAATTAAGCACTTTAACCTTGAAACCTGGAGACCCTAACCAGCAGGACATGCTCCTAGTCCTGGGAACAGTCTGTAAACCACTTTTTCTGCCTATATGTATTTTTTCCATTGTGTAGGTCTGCTTTGAGTCATGGTTGCAATTAAATCCCCCTGAATCCCTTTTACCTTCCTCAAAAATGGAGCTAATACGAGTCTGGTTTTCTCTGCCCTGAGCACACAGCTCCTTTTAAGTGCAGTAATGGTCCCACTGGAGTTAACACCCTGGAAAAAAAGCCAGACCACCATTCGGGAAGGGGTCACACAGAGGTACACAGGGTGCCCACACCAGCGTTTAGCAGCAGCTTAGGCTAAGCTCGGGCTGGATGACGTTTTTCCTTTTCTCATTCTTTCCTCATTTACCCATTCTTATTTTGGGATGAAACTTTCCAACTTTGGTTCATGTCCTAGAGTGAATGTCTTAGGGAGATCTGAGCGATATCCAGCGAGTTGGGTTTGAGTCATCTGAAGAAGTAAAGCCTAGATACCTACGTTATTTCATGCATTTTTTTCTGCTTCTAGAAGTCACTTGATGCATGAGAAGAGCTGGAAGTCAAACAGTTAAAGTCTAAAAACTGTTTTCTTCGATGAATTGGAAGGAATTTGGGAGGAAATGTAAACAACTGGAGAAGTGAGAGAGATGCTACGGGGCGGCCGTGGGACATCCCCGCCAGCTCTGGGCTGCGACATCCAGGGGACGGCATGGCCCAGCGTGCTCCACACTTTTTGCAGGTGCTCGCTTTGCAAGCTTGATCTCACCGGGACAGCCACTGCTGCCTTTCCAGCTTTAACTGTTCAGAAGTGGTGGGCTGGCTCTGTCTCCGCGCAGCAGGACCATTGCCGCAGCGCCCGTGTGAGCATCCTTTTGCATTCCGGAACCTCCCATATGTCCCGGCCCGTGGGTCTCCCAGGGGATGGTCCGAATTTGCCCCAGGGTGAGCATCACGTGGGCCGTGCCATGCAGCTCTGTCTTAGCAATAAGCGGAGGAATGAGGACCAGCCAGACTAGTTACTCATTCTAGATAAGAGGCTCTTTTGTGCTGCAGAAATACCAATATCACGTGAAAATCTCCCCGCTGCCATGGTTACTAGCCACCGTCACAGCCGCCGGCAAGACGGGACTCGTAGCATTGACAGGGCTTCTGGTCTCCCCTTCGCAAGGGGAACTCCAGCCATAAAACCTACGCTATGCCCCAAAATGGAGGGGAGGTGTCTGCGAGGGCTGCCTAACCCTCCCCAGGGTGAGCTGGCCACATCTGGCGTTACGATGCTCAGAGCTTGTTGTGTACAGTGTTTCTGCACTGTCACTGGGCATCAGGCTCTGGGTTTTATAAATTCCTCACTAATAACCTGAAATATTATTTAAAAAGTGAGAAAATGGTGCTGCAGCCTGGGCAGGCATAGCTTCCTGTTTTTCTGGCATTTAGGAGTGACTTGACCTCTTGGCGCTCTTGCTTTTTACACTA